AATTAAAAAAATCACTATTGGCTAATTTCCATTTAACTTTTATTTTAAAATCTCACATAGAAGTTTTGATTTTAAAAATAATTTTGTATGAGATTTTGAAACTCTCATAATATCTCTCCTTAAAAGTATTCTTTTGTAAAATATATAGATATATTGATAATTTCAACGTCACTCTTACTGCTCCTTAATATAAAAATTATGAGATAATTATTATAATTTTAAATTTGTATTTCAAACTTATAAATCATGGGATAGATTATTATAATTTTAAATTTAAATTAATAGATTATTTTTCATATTTAGTGACAGTTTAAATTTTAATAAAATAAAATTTAAAAATTTTAATTAATTAATTTTTGTGTAAGTTGATTGGTCTTTTGGCCTAACTAATTAAGCTAAATTGGTTTTGGTTTGAATGATTTGCTAATTTAACCGTGATTTTAACAGTTTTACCAAAATATATTGGTTAGATTTGTTTGATTCAAAATAAATTAAAGAACTGAAATTACTTGATTAGAAAAAAACTTTTCACCCAAACAATAGTTAATTTTTATTTTACAATCCCACATCGGAAAAAGAAAGAAAAAGTGAATTGTTTCACTTATATAAAATGAATCTTATAAATGAGGTTTTGAGAGAGAAGCCTTCTAGAAGTTCCAAACTCTCACAATGTGTTTGGTTTGAGTTTTTTAAATTAAATTTTTTGAAAATTGAGTTTTTTGATTTTCGTGTTTTTTTATTTTTAGTGAATATTTTAAATTTTAAACATTTTTTTTTACTTTTATAGATGCACCTTATTTAGATGTATCTAAAAAGTAAAAAATTTGTGAAAAAATTAATAAATACATAAAAATAAAAATAAAATGTACTAAACTCTTATATATATATATTTTTTTGTATTTTTGGTATTTAGTGAATTTTTAAAAGGTTTTTTTCACAATTTTTTCACTTTTTAGGTATATTTATGCTAGGTATGTCTAAAAAGCAAAAAAAAAAATTGCTTAAAATATTAAAAAAATTCAGTAAAACAAAAAAAACGGAAAACAAGAAAGTAGAATTTTCTGAAAAGTATTTTTGGAAAACTGTAACCAAAAAATTAATTTTTGGTGATAACTTTTTTTTTTTTTTTAAATACTATTTTAGGTGGTTCTCAAATTTAGCTTAATGAACTTTTTTTAAAAAAAATTTTTTAATTTTAAGCAATTAAAAAAATTCTCATTAGGTAGTTTCTATTTACCTTTTATTTTACAATCCCACGTCGGGGAAAAAAAGAAAAAAATGAATTGTTTCACTTACATAAAGTGAATCTTATGCTCCTATTTATATAAATTATTCAATTTTATTAATTTTAAACAATTAAGAAAATCTCAATTAGCTAGCTTGCATTTAACTTTTATTTTACAATTACACACTAGGAAAATAAGGAAAAAAATGAATTGTTTTACTTAGATAAAGTGAATTTTATACTCCTATTTATACAAGTAAAAGGAAATTTTTAGTGAGAAACCCTATGATCAATATCTCATACCATTTTTTTTTCTTGATTTTAAACAATTAAGAAAATTTCTATTGGCTAACTTCCATTTAATTTTTATTTTACAATCTCACATAGAGGTTTTGATTTTAAAAATAATTTTGTATGAGATTTTGAAACTTTCATAATATTTAACTTTAAAATAATTACAATCTCACATCGAGAAAAAAAGAAAAGAAAAAGTAAGTTGTTTTACTTTTATAAAATGAATCTTATAAATGAGGTTTTAAGGGAGAAGCCTTGTAGAAATTCTAAACTCTCATTCTAAAATTATTAAATTTTTTAATTTTAAACAATTAAGAAAATTCCCATTAGCTAGCTTTTATTTACCTTTTATTTTACAATCCCACGTCGGGAAAAAAAAGAAAAAAGTGAATTGTTTCACTTACATAAAGTGAATCTTATGCTCCTATTTATATAAATTATTCAATTTTCTTAATTTTAAACAATTAAGAAAATCTCAATTAGTTAGCTTGCATTTAACTTTTATTTTACAATTACACACCAGGAAAAGAAGGAAAAAATGAATTGTTTCACTTAGATAAAGTGAATTTTATGCTCCCATTTATACAAGTAAAAGGAAATTTTTAGTGAGAAACCCTATGATCAATATCTCATACCATTTTTTTTTATTTTCTTAATTTTAAACAATTAAGAAAATCTTTATTGGCTAACTTCTATTTAATTTTTATTTTACAATCCCACATAGAGGTTTTTATTTTAAAAATAATTTTGTATGAGATTTTGAAACTCTCACAATATTTAACTTTAAAATAATTACAATCCCACATCGAGAAAAAAAGAAAAGAAAAAGTAAGTTGTTTTACTTTTATAAAGTGAATCTTATACTCCTATTTAATATTGTAGTATTATGCATATTTCAATTCAAGATAATTTAAATTTTAAAATAAAATTTAAAAGTTTTAATTAATTAATTTTATTGTAAATTTATTGGCCTTTTGAATTAGCCGATTAGGCTTAATCGTTTTCAATTTGACTGATTCACTAGTTTAACTGCAGTTTTAACTATTTTATTAAAATATTTTGTCTAGATTTGTTTGATTTAAAATAAATTAAAATTGACCTTATTAAAAATTGAACGACTGAGATTGCCTGATTAGAAATAAATTTTCTGTTCAAACAACTATTAACTTTTATTTTACAATCCCATATCAGGAAGACGAGAAAAAAATGAGTTGTTTCACTATATAAAAATTATGCTTCCATTTAAAATTGTAATGTTGTGTATGTTTCAATTCAAGACAGTTTAAATTTTAAAATTAAAATAAAATTTAAACGTTTTAATTAATTAATTTTTGCACAAGTTGATTGATCCTTTGACTTAACTGATACGGTGGACCATTTTTTCTTTGACTGATTCAGTAGTTTAACAGCGTTTTTAGCAGTTTTATCAAAATATATTGGTTAGATTTGTTTGATTCGAAATAAATTAAAGATTGACCTGATTAAAAATTAAACGGCTGAGATTGCTTGATTGAAAATAAACTTCTCGCCCAAACATTTGTTAACTTTTATTTTACACAATCCCAAGAAGAAAAAAGTTAATTATTTCACTTATCTATACTATCTATACTATATATTAAGCAAAATGAGGTTTTTAACTCCCAAGGCCTGTGAGAGCTACAATGTCCTAATCTGAATTTTCTAAACTTTTTATTTTTTATTTAAAAAAAATCTCCGCATTTATTGATTTGGTCAAAATTTCCTGATCAGCATTTATTAAATTTTTTCAATCCACGTGTTTGCATTTGTTGATTTTGTCAAAATCAGCATTTAAAATCCCATCATACAAATAATTATAGATACAATCCATGTATAGTTATTGCAGTATCTTTTTCAACTTCTCCCATACATTATGGTTAGTGATAAGATTGTTAAATTATTTTTATGAAAAATCTTAAAAAACATAATTTATATATTAAAAAAATCTAAAACAAATATAAAATATCTATAATTATCCTATGCATAGCACGGGTGATAGGCTAGTATTATATAAGGAAAATGAGATTTTTAGAGAGAAGATTATTAGGAGCTCCAAACCCTCATTTTAAAATTATTAAAAAAAATTTCATTTTAAACAATTAATAAAATTTTCATTGATTAGTTTTCATTTAACTTTTATTTTACAATCTTACATCGAAAAAAAAAGAAGGAAAGGTAAAAAAGTGAATTGTTTCGCTTATATAAAGTGAGTCGTGTACTCCCATTTATATAAATTATTGAATTTTTAAAATTTTAAGCAATTAATAAAATTCTTATTGGTTAGTTTTCATTTAATTTTTATTTTACAATCCTACATCAAGAAGATAAGGAAAAAGTGAATTTTTTCACTTACATAAAGTGAATCTTATGCTCTCATTTATATAAGCAAAATGAGATTTTTAATAAGAAAGCTTATGATCAATATCTTATACTATTTTTTTTTATTTTCTTAATTTTAAATAATTAAGAAACTCTCGATTGGTTAGCTTCCATTTAACTTTTATTTTACAATCACACATAGAAATTTTGATTTTAAAAATATTTTTGTATAAGATTTTGAACTCTTATAATATCTCTTCTTAAAAGTATTCTTTTGTAAAATATATAAATATATTGATAATCTCAATGACACTCTTATTGCTCCTCAATACAAAAATTATGAGATAATTATGATAATTTTAAATTTGTATTTAAAAATTATAAATTAAGGGATAGATTATTATAATTTTAAATTTATATTGCGTCAATTTTAAATTTAAATCAATAGATTACTTTCCATATTTAGTGACATTTTATTTCAAAATTTTAATTAATTAATTTTTGTGTAAATTGGTTAGTTTTTGACCTAACTAATTAAATTAAACCATTTTTAGTTTGAATGATTTGCTAATTTAACCGTAATTTTAGCGGTTTTGCATGTTATGATAATTTTTTCTTACTCATTAAGTTTTAAATTTTTTTAAATTATTTCCCTTTCAAAAAACAATATGACAATTTTTTAACATTTTATATATTTTTATTCTAAAATAGTGAAATATTATGACTATATCATTTTTTTTTTATAACCAAGCATAATTTTAATTATTAATTGTCAATTAACAATTTTAATATATCTATACTATATGTTAATAGTAAAGGAACATTTAAAACAAAACTTTTAAATTTATATATAAAATTTTGTTTACGAGAGACAAAATATAAAAAAAAATTAAATATAATTATCATATTTTTAATAAATGATTATATTATTTTATCCCTTTACATAACACACACGAATGATATGTTAATAATTCCATCTAATTTAATTTACCAAACAAACCTGGCCTAAAACCTTAAACCCTTGATTTTTTGTTTTTTTGGGCCTTTCTAGGGTTAAAAAGTCCTAAAACCCTAGAACCTTATACTACTGTTTCTTCTAGAGCCTTCCTTCCCCTCTTGATAATCACAATTGCCTCCACATCACATCTAATTGGACCTCTCCATTCTTAACTCCCTGAAAACTCTCTCTCTCTCTCTCTCTCTCTCTCTCACCCTCACCCTCCAACTAAAGTCTGCCTACTTCAATTCTCACTTCTCTGCAATACCCAGATAGCCATGTACCGCTTCGCAGCAAACCTTGCCTCCAAAGCTCGGTACGTCCACCAATCTGACCCTTTATGTTTCAATGTCTTTGTACTTCATGGGTTTTCTTGTATTTTCTCATTTCTTTGTATTACTTGATCATTCTCTTATCAAACTTGATTCTATTGATTCACAGGGTTGCCAGGAACACCACCCAACAGGTGATTGTCCCTAAACTCTTTAGATTATTTGTTTCAGACTCTACTTGCTTCTTGTCTCTCCTATACATATATATGTGTTGGGTTTTTGGTGGGATGTAGATTGGTGGTAGACTCAGTGGATTTTATTTGTTACGGGTTCATCTCTCTCTCTCTCTCTCTCTCTCTCTATATATATATATATATATATGTATTGTGTTTTTGCTGGGATGCAGTTTGGTAGTAGACTCAGTAGATTTTATTTGTTTCAGACTATAATCGGTTCCTCTCTCTCTCTCTCTCTCTCTCTCTCTATAAATATGTGTGTGTGTTGGGTTTTTGGTGGAATGCAGATTGGTAGTAGATTGAGTTGGAGCAGAGACTATGCAGCCAAAGACATCAAATTTGGCGTGGTGGCTCGGACTTTGATGCTACAGGGTATTGAAGAGCTTGCTGATACTGTTAAAGTAACCATGGGCCCCAAGGTATGCTCTCGAGATCAATCAACTTTTTGTATTGTTTGAATATAGGTTGATGCTTTATTCCAAAGATGTGTTTTTTGATAACTTATGTTGATCGCGCCAAGTCAAGAAGCAAACTTTAGGTTAGTTTGGTTATTTATTTTAATTTTTGTGAGTGATACATTGTGCTAGCAAATTGAATTAGTAACTTTCAAGAATGGTACTGTAAAAATTGAGTATAGATAATAGAGTTCAATTCTTGGAATATGGATTTATATTTTCATGCATTTATGTTGTGAATAATTTTGCTCTGTTTCTTGGTTCACTGGATTGAGGCTGGAATGGAATGATCATTCTGTTGGAATATCCATTTTTATGTTTGGTTTGGTGAAAAGAAAAGGAATTTACATTGGAAATGGAATTCCATTTAAGAGAATGTCCGATAACCAATTTAAGAGAATGGCCATTCCATTCCATTCCATCAGGAGGCCAAGGAATAGTCATTCTGTTCGTGCCTAAAATCATTCCTGCAAACCAAATACTACTTTATAGTTTTGATCATAGTATCTGATATTGTTTCAAGGATTGGGATGTGCCCATGACTCCATGAGGGGCTGTTTCAGAAACCTCAGGGCCTGAGATGGGTAGTCAGCTGGGGATGGTCTGATTAGGTTGCCGACTTTTTGTTTTGTTAATGTCCAATCAGATGAGTCATGTGGTACTTTGTGTTTTATGTGTTTGTTATTTTAGTTTCAGTACTTCAATGCAAAGATAAAATATTGGTTTTTTTTTTTTTTTTTTTGCTTCTCCTGGATTTTCTTTAGTAATGGGTTTCGTCAGTGCTGACAAGTCTAGTTATTTGTGTTGCTGAATGAAGGGTCGGACTGTGGTGATTGAACAAAGCTTTGGTGGCCCCAAAGTGACAAAAGATGGTGTCACAGTTGCGAAGAGCATTGAGTTCAAGGACAAGGTCAAGAATGTTGGTGCAAGCCTTGTAAAACAGGTTGCTAATGCAACCAATGATGAAGCTGGCGATGGTAAGGTTTTCTTCCTAGCAGCATTGGAAGAATCGAGAGAGTTTGTATTTTCAAGTTGTAGTAGATTTGTTTGATTGAGGCTATTTGGTTATTCTTTGTTGTTGAAAGACTTAAAGTTTTTCCTTTGGCCATTTAACGAGAGTTTAGTTATTAAACATAGGACCAATGGGCATTAAATCATATTTATGTTACTTTAGTGTATAGTTACCAAGTTCTAACCACATGGTACTGAACAATTTGTGGTGCTTTCAGGTACTACTTGTGCTACAATCCTTACCCGAGCAATATTTGCTGAAGGTTGCAAATCAGTTGCAGCTGGGATGAATGCAATGGACCTAAGACGGGGTATTACTATGGCAGTTGATTCTGTGGTAACAGACTTGAAAAGCAGGGCACGTATGATTAGCACATCTGAAGAAATAGCGCAGGTTTGTTACTAGTTTTAAATCATTCTAACCATTATTAGCATGCTGGGGAGAAACACAAGTTCTTGGGAAACTGTAATAGCAAATAGTAATAATTTTTGTTTTCAAGGTTGCTGATATAAATGTACTCTGATAGGTTGGGACTATATCTGCAAATGGGGAAAGAGAAATTGGTGAGCTGATAGCTAAGGCCATGGAGAAAGTTGGCAAGGATGGAGTCATCACAATTGCAGTATGTTCCTAACTTCTTGTTGGAGTATATCTAAGTGCACAGATGATTTTCACAAAATGGTGTGGGAACCCACCCTTTGTCTCACATCTGTGTCCCATTATGTGAAAATCTTTTGTGTACATGGCATAGCTGGTTCTTGTTGACATCTTGGTTTTGTGATGTTGTTTTCCCGCACATAATCTTGCTATAATATAACATATTTTTTGGCCAAGTTTTAGGGTTTGGTTGTACATTTTCTTGTTCAAGTCTTATTTTCAGGACCCACAGGTCTGACTATATAGTAAACTCATGCAGGATGGTAAGACATTGTTTAATGAATTGGAAGTTGTTGAGGGGATGAAACTGGATAGAGGCTACATATCCCCATATTTCATCACCAACGAGAAGAACCAGAAATGTGTAAGTCCTCATATTTCATTGTAATTTGACATCCAAGCATATATTTTTTCCTCGATGTCACTGTCACACACTGGAATCAAGAATGTGTGCTGCTGCTTTTGTAATTTACACTGACTTATTAATGTTCACTTCAGGCTTACAATTTGGTATTTGGTGACAGGAATTAGATGACCCTCTTATTCTAATTTATGAGAAGAAAATCTCAAGCATAAATGCTATTGTCAAATTACTAGAGTTGGCATTGAAGGTAATTTGTTCTTTGGCAAATAAATCTCATATTGATCATTAAATTTACTTGGAAAGTGCCTTTCTTACCCTGCAATTCTTTAATTGACAAGACTATGTTGTTTGTATTCAGAGTCAAAAGCCCCTGTTAATTGTTGCAGAAGATGTGGAAAGTGAGGCATTGGCAACTCTTATTCTAAACAAACTTCGTGCTGGAATCAAGGTTTTTTGGCTGTCTTCTTGTTTGTTTCTATATTGGTTTTTGTTTATTAGTTTACCCTTTCAATTTTTTGACATTTTAATGTATTTATTATGTGTCTTTTATAGAAGACTTACGTACGGTAGCAAAGATAGCATTGTGTTTAGCACTTGACGAATGCATATTTCAATATTTGTTAGAATATGAAAAGTAAATATATGATTTCCTAGATTTGAGAATCATATATTTACTTTCCATCTTCTCATTGTCAAGTGTTAACAGTTCAACAAGAATTTCTTGTAATGATCGTCCGAGCATTCAATAAATCTCCCATTCTATTTTTCTTCAATTGCATGTCTATAGGTTTGCGCCATTAAAGCCCCTGGGTTTGGAGAGAACAGGAAGGCCAATCTGCAGGATCTTGCCATTCTCACAGGAGGCGAAGTAGGTTCTTTGTCCGATTTATGTTGTTTGCTTTCAGACAATATTGTATTCCATGACACTGAAGACATGTGCTTTTATCTTATGTTTTGTAGCTTATAACTGAAGACCTTGGAATGAATTTGGAGAATGTGAATTTGGACATGCTTGGTACTTGCAAAAAGGTAAAAGCTCTACTGCCATTTGAGGTTGTATGCTTTAGCAATTGGACAACTCATTATTTAAAGAAGAATTTTTCAAAAACATTTTCTTTTTATCTACGTTCTTGAATTAAGGATTAAAATTTTTGTTTGGAGCCGTAGTAATGTAGGTTCAATATCACCTATGCATCTCTTGAGTAACTAACAGGGTTGTCATCTTAGGTCACTGTTTCTAAGGATGACACACTTATTCTTGACGGTGCTGGTGACAAGAAGGCTATAGAGGAAAGATGTGAACAGGTATGTGTTGCTTTGTTCTTCAGCATATTCAAATCCCCTTTTCCCTTATTTTATTTATGAATTGACAGGGATTGATCTATCCATAATTAACTAAAGAATTAGCTAGAAGAACATGTTGAAATTTCTTTGGATCCTAACTTGATTTATGTGGCCTACCATTTGGAATTACAGATTAGGTCGGCAATTGAATTGAGCACTTCTGATTATGACAAGGAGAAATTGCAAGAGAGATTAGCTAAGCTTTCTGGAGGTGTTGCTGTACTGAAGGTCTGCCATTGTTGTGCTTTACAAAAAATTTTGTGAAATACTTTGAATAAATGCAACTACTCTAGATTAGCTGTGTTTCTAAAATTATGCTCATTATACTTTTCATATTCCAGTCTCATAATGTGCCAAATTATTACTTACGATGAACACAATGATTAAATAAGATTTGTTTCCTTGTAGATTGGAGGAGCAAGTGAAGCTGAAGTTAGTGAGAAGAAAGACAGAGTGACAGATGCTCTGAATGCCACAAAGGCAGCTGTAGAAGAAGGAATTGTAGCCGGTAACTTTGTTTTACATGTCTTTTTTCTGTGTGTTCTAGTTTACCTGAACAGTGAACAGATTGACAAATGAATTTTATTTACAGGTGGTGGTGTCGCTCTTCTTTATGCATCAAAAGAGTTGGATAAGCTGCCAACAGCCAACTTTGATCAGAAGATTGGTGTTCAGATTATTCAGAATGCTCTCAAGGTTCAATTTTTTCTATAGTTACTTGTAAACTCAAGCTCAGATTCTCATAATATAATAAGCTTGTTTGGTTTCAAACTGAAAAACTGTTTTCTGGCTTTTTATTTTTCGTATATAATCTAGATCACCAAAAAAGTAATATATGTGAAGAAATCTGAAAAAAGTTTACTAAAGACCAAAAAAAAAATATTTGAAAATGTGCATCAAGATTAGGTGCATCTAAAAAAAACAAAAAATGAAATCAGAAAATATTTTTGAATTTGAAAACCAAACAAGATAAATGTTTCATCTATGGGATTATACATTTATTGATTCAAGGTCTCATTAGTTAACCATATTTTTAGTAACTCCTGCCACATGCTTGTTTGTGGGTCTTAATGAAATCTCAAACACCGTTTCTCAAGCACTCATTTTGTAATATTGTAATGAGCCTTTTCTTACTACTGATCTCTATCAGATGTATTCGATTTTGTATTATCTTGGAGGTCTGTTTGGCTGTTGGTTCAATTAATCCGTTTTGTTTATGAAACCTGTAACTGCAGACACCTGTTTATACAATTGCTTCTAATGCCGGAGTTGAGGGGGCTGTTGTCGTTGGTAAGCTATTGGAGCAGAATGACCCCGATCTTGGTTATGATGCTGCCAAAGGTCTGTGCTGTAGAATCTTCTGTATTGGCCTTGTTTAGTACAACTTATTGAAGCTGCTTATAGTTTTTTTTTTTTTAATTTTTTTTTTTTGAGTATTTGGTGTAGCTTTGCTAACTAATATATGAGGCAGAGATAGGGTGTTTTTAGCCTTTTCTTTTTGATTATTAACGTTTAGCCTGAGAAAAATTCCACCAAACAGCCCGTCTTGTTTCACAGCATGTTGACAAATGTTAATTTTCAGTTTACTAAAATGTTTAGCTCCTGTTTCTATTGCGCAACCAGGTGAATATGTTGATATGGTAAAGGCTGGAATTATTGATCCATTAAAAGTAATAAGGACTGCTTTGGTCGATGCAGCAAGGTAAGCTGAAGGAACTCTCTTTTGTGGGTTCGGGTTTTCCAGGATTTCATTCTTCATTCGATGACTTGCCCTTTTTGTAATGTTGCAGTGTCTCATCGCTGATGACAACCACTGAAGCTGTTGTAGTTGATAGTCCCAAAGATGAGAAGTCAGTACCAGCAATGGGTGGCGGCATGGGTGGTATGGGTGGCATGGGTGGTATGGATTTTTGAAGATCATCGTCGACTATAGTGCTTTGATCCAACCCATCTGACCTTGTTTTCCACAGATGAAAATAAGCATTGTGGTTTTTGCCTAATTTTTAGTCAATCATTTGTGGAGCGAAGGATAAATGTAATCATAGCGAGAGAGATTGTTCTGTCGAAAGTGGTTGACAATGTAGGATAGAAGCCGAATTTGATTAGTGAAGGATTTGTACTGTATTTTGTCAGGATAACAAATTATCTTCCTAGCATAATTGGCAATTGAAAAATGCGTTCTTTCTTGCCTCCCATTTTGAGTGATGAAAGAAAATATGATATTTATCTAGTCTTGCTATGAAATGGCGGGAAATGATTAGAAATGGTAAGAAAGAATTCTTTGCTCATGTTTGGTTTATTAATTGGGTGGAAAACAGTACGAAATGATGAAAAAGGAAATTCTTTTATTAAGTCTATTCATTTTTTTATCAAAAGTGATGAGATTTGATGAGAAATAAATTGATTAGTTGTAAAATATTTATAATATCAAGATTGTCTTTTAAAATGTAAAGACAAAAATTCATTCATATCTTTCTCTTTCCAAATTGCAAGAGAGTACTTTTTTATGAGGTTTTTTTTTTTAAGGTCTTTTGTATTAAGATTTTATAATATAAAGAAAATCTAATATTTTTATAATGTCTAAGTTCCTTCAAGTTGATCTAGAGAAAATTCACGTCACAGAGAAAATTGGTCCAAAGAAAATTATGGGAAGAATTTCTCTGGACTTTCTAGAGAAATTTTGAAAATTTCTCTAACCTTTTCTAAACTTCCCCCTATAATTTTCTCTGCCCTCCCCTTCTCCAAATTTCTCTGCATTCCATATATTTTCCACTCTTTCAGAGAAATTTCTCTGCCTTTCCATAAAATTACATCTCCAGAGAAATTTTAAATTTCTCTACCCTTTCTGCCTCTCCTGATCTCAACACTCCAGATAAATTTCTCTAACTTCATCGGCCTTCCCACAAAATTACCTCTCCAGAGAAATTTTAAATTTCTCTGGCCTCCCTAACCTTTCATGGACTCTCCAGAGAAATTTTAAATTTCTCTGCCTTGCATATACTTCCCATATAACAAAGCAGTCACAGAACAGAAGCAATAAATCAAAATGAAACAAAAAAAACAAAACAAAAAACAAAAAACAAAAAAACAAAAAAACAAAAACAAAAACAAAATCAAGTCCTAATTTTCTATTGTTTGTTGATGAATAAATACAAAGATTGGCATGGAGTGAGTATACAAGTGCAGTGTACCAGATACCAAAAGTGCCGGCGGAGAAGAGAGCAGTCTAGGTGCCCTATTGATCGTGGAGAAAAATGAGAGGGAGATTAAAATGCGATGATCTAACAGTTAGGGTGGAACGAACCGAATTGGGGTTTGTTGTGGGTAAAATGAGAGGAAAGAAGAGGGGGGATTTATGATGATCTTCTTGTTTGATATGCGAGGATGATGATGATGATGATGAATATTGGGGTTTTCAACTAAAACTGATGGTTGTCGCGGAGACTGTTGTGCAGATGTTTTGGCGGGAACAGAAGAAGCATGGGCGTTGCTGCTGCTGCAGGAGTGTTTGAGTTGTATTATGGCGACGGAGCTGTGTCTGGGTTGAGGCCGTTACTGGCGAGTATGTCGGAGTTTTTGTTAGGGTCTGGTTTTGATCGAATCAGAGAGAGAGAGAGAGAGAGAGAGAAAGAATAATGAAAGCCCTAGCCAGAAGAAAGAAGAAAGCGAGAAAGTGAATTTTCTTTGGAATATACGGGCATAGGATCAAGGGATCTTAAACATTATAAAATAATATTGTGGATCTCTTCTACTACAAAAAATGGCAGAGAGACCTTAGACTAATTTTCTCTATTTTTTACATCTGAACATGATAATGAGAAATTTTAATTATTTCTCATCTTTTCTCATCTAAATGAGAAATTATGATAATTTCTTTTCCTTTTTCACCCTTCAATCTGTTTATTCATTTGAACATGATAATGAGAAATTTTAATTATTTTTTTTCTCTTCTCACTTAAGTGAAAAATTATGATAATTTCTTTTCCTTTCTCACCCTTTCAATCCAAACGGAGTTGTTGGCTTTTTGATTTTCGAAAGTTATTGTTGTAATTGCGAGCGTGCTAGCAAGGATCAATTAGTCCTTACAGAAAATTAATTGCTAACCAATTATCAGACGACTGCGTTTTAGTTCTTTCAGTCTCAATGAAGAGGACTTTTACTGGTGGCTTGACTTTGGAGAATCAAACAGATAACAATGAATTGAAGAACAATCGAAATATTTCATTAAGATGAAAAGACTTACAATGATCCAAACTCAACCTCATAGAGGTTTACAGTAACTCTACTTGGAACTACTCCTATGAAACGAAATGCAGTGCAGGAATTTTAAAGTACAACAATGTAAAGAACTGTAAATGTAAAAAACTGTAAATGTAAAGCTGGAAAGGAAAATAAGTAATAAAGACTGGTTTTTTAGATCTGAGTCTGGGCTTTTTTCTGGGGCCTTCTCTACTATTTATATTGCGCCAGGATGACCATCGAATTACATTTCCAACCGTCGAACTGCTCCTCCATGATCATCGATCATTCTTCCCCAATATTAGCTCCACTACGCCATTACTTGCAATTAAGCTTCCCTCCTAAATTTGAATCTGAAATGTGAGTAACCGTTGAGGCCACGTCACTTTGTATCTCTTTGTTGATCCACTGCTACTCAGATTTCTTAATAACTAATACTAACTGTCACGTGTACGATCAGGATCGAGGACCTGAATAGTCTTCCTATATTACCTTTATTTCGCCACACGTCGAATTGTAACTGGCTTGTACAAAATATGTAGCTAACATTACTCCCCGCACTAATATACCTAATACTTGGTGATATTAGTGGATCAGGGTCTTTTTCCCATGTCTTAGAACGTGCATGGGTTTTGCATCTCCCCAGAAATGCAACTGTCACTTACTATCTGTATTAAACTCTCGTTTAATCCTTTAAACGCTCCCACCATCTTAGCATTTAAACAAACTGATACATTTCATGGCCGAATTAATTTTTTCCTCCAACGATCGAGTACACGAAGAGTCATATGTCGATGCTGTTCCTCCTCGAAAGAACGTCCGTGCATTAATTAGCCACCTTTACCCACCTTTTTATATTTAGGTCATGGATGCCTTTGCAAATTATCAATCCTTGGACTTCGAACATATTGCCCTTAATCCTTCAATTCAGAAACTCACAAATATGGACATGGGAGGTTCTTCTTCTGTCTCACCCTTGGACTACGAACAAACTGCTCTCAATCCTTTAATTCAAAAAGTTACAAATATGGACATGGGAAATTCTTTTCCACAATCCTCTGCATGGGACAAGGCTGCGACTTCTTCCTCTTCTGGTGCTTCTGACTGGACAAGTTGGTCAAAACCCGAGGCTTGTGATTTGAGGGAACGAATTAACCATCACTTTGTCGAATTTACTGACCCTTTAGAGTTCTCTTCTTATGCACGAAGCTCGGTGGTCTATCCTTACGTGCCCATTGACCATCGACGCAGTTTGGAGGAGAATCTGCTTGTGGCATGGTATACATCCTCCATGCCTACAAAGATAGTGCACGCCACCCGACGCCTAGAAGAGGCACAAGGGTACAATCCATCATTCTTAGCCCAGAAGGCGAAGATTTGTTCTTCTGACTGGCTTGATTATATTAATGCCCTTGTTCTTTCTACCCTTGTTCCACCTCCTGAAATAGAAGCATCCACACCTTTTTCCCTACCAAATCCTTGTTAGACAGAGAGATTGAGGCTTGCCCTCTCCGCAGATAAGATCTTTCCACTTTACAAGCCTCCACCCTCCCACACTCTTACTGAGCAGAAACAAGCTCTACTTCTGCTCGTGGCTTTCTCTCATTTGCCCTTCAATGTTCTCGAGGACGAAGTTTCTCTCAAGAACCTAAGATGGGCTTGTGATTTTCTGACTCGGGGTCGTGTTCTCAATCCCCTTGCCCAAGCAGAACTTCACATGTTTTTGGACCAGCTTTCGTTGCTTCTCCACTAGCATCGGACCTCTATGGCCACTACACAATCTTTAGACCAATTTTCGTCCCTTCGAATTCATGCCCAGTACGAAGCAGAGAACTTCATTGAAGAATTCGATAATTTCAAGAACATGAGGGCTTTAGGCTTGAATCTTTGGAGGGAGTTCCCCTGTGAGGGCACTACACCTCCTCACAAAAGGAGAACTAGAAGATAAAACTGAAAGTATTATAAAGAGTAAAAAAGAAGAAGGAGTATTCTAAGCTATTACCTTTCTTCGATGCGCATGGCGCGAATCTCCTAGAGGCTAGGCGCTCTGAAATGCACGCAGGAGCAGATTATGGGAATGCAGGCACAGGACACTGGGTAAAATTACAACTCCAGCTCCTTTGGGCTTGGCAACATCCAACATCCGTCATAGGTCTTAAGGGGAAATGGCCAGGTGCACTTCCATAATTGGTCACCCACCAATTGATTGAGTATCTTTTCAAAAAAGTTACCTTGGAAAAGGAAGGGGATATTTACTCGAAAATCGACCAAGTCCTGTATAAATTCTGAAAGTTGCCTCTTTCTAGTTTGGACCTTCAAACTTTCACATCCTTGGTGACTTATATTTGTGTTACACAGAGAAGGTATTGGACCCCTGAGTGAAGCCAAATTTGTCTAGCAAATTATGCTAGGGACAATAGTGCTCAGCAATACATTGTAAGCTCTGTGGTTCATAGTCCCAAATGCAATAATTCTCTGGGATTAAAATGGAGCGCATTTATATATTGTGAAACACGGTGAAGCACAGAGCCTTTACTTAGAAAATTTTCTTCAACCAAAGTCAGGGCCAATAGTAATGTTCGAAAGTGACGAAAAACAGTTAGAAAGAGGAGAAGCTAAAGTTGGTGAAGAAGAGAAGTAAAAAGCCAAAAGTAGAAGGATAAAGCAGAAGCATTGCTGCCTCAGCCATGAGTAGAGGGTCTTGGTCAATAACAATTGGATGTAAAGCTTTCGGATGAATCAACTTTCAGACACAAAGACTCAAGCTAACCAACACCTCTTCGGACCCCCTCGTGTTCACGATCTAAGGGTTTTCTCACAAAAAAAAGCAGAGGCCGTCTATATACGTGACTAGAACTATGGAGCTAAAGCCACCCTCTCCGTAAACAAGGGCTTTGTGGCAAGTAGGCCAAATTCAGCATAATTCTTGAGAGGAGTGCAGAAAAGAACTTGTAAA